ATAAGTTTTCAAAACAAATTCAATGAATGTGATGGGGTTTTTTTTCTGCATTTTTATATTTTTAACAACTTAAATTAAGATTAAGATGAGTAGATGAATAAAAAATAGCACATTTTGTATGGACATTTATTGTATGTAGTGGAAATAATTTAGTAAATCATGTCTATATCCAGGTTCCTTTACACTTGCGTAATACTCACTTATATTATCCTCAGGTGAAGATATAAGGAAGTACTTAATCTGAAAATACTCGTTTTAAATTTAGACCAAAGGCAAAAACCTTCCAGTGTTTGCCTTTGCACGTGTCAGCTTTGATGTTCTGCATTACATGTTCATGCATTTAGTTCCCATATCAAAACAAGCTTCCCTGCTTTTTTTTTTTTTTTTTTTTTTGTTCCACTGTCACATGTGGGGAAAACTGAAACAGAGAACAGACTTTAAATGAAGTTGTTTTGTTGTATGTGTAGATAAGACACATTGGTTTTACCAGAGCTGGTTTCCTCAATGTCCTCAATAGATTTTCCAAAACAGATATTCAGATTAGCCATATATGCACATATTCTGTCATGTTCAGCCGCTGCAAAATGGCGGACAACAACTTGCTGAGAGTCCAGCAGTGTATGGATAAGTGAAAACATAATCTGCACCATGTTGTGAAATGGCAATGTTTTCCTTTCAAATTGCATCTTATCCTTTGCATTTACATTTACAACGTCAATATAGAACTGATATTTTTCTGGCCTTTTTTCTTTTTTACCATCACAAAATGTCTTCTAGTATCTGTGTGCTTTTCAGGCATCAAAATATCTGTCAGGTTTGGGTATTAAGGGCAGTGAGTTTATTCAAGTAAAGGTTTTGCATTATTTTGTTGCACTGTCTTTAACTTTTTCTATTTTGCCTTTGGTTTTAACTCAACAGTATTGTTTTTCTCAAGAGAAAAAAAAAACATATTTTGCTCTTCTTTAAATAATGATAAAACTTGGGTTAATTTTATTCCCATGAACACTCACATTGAAAACAAAGCTCTTCGTTTGATGACGGTAAAAAAAAAATGTTACTGGTCTATTTATATCGATCAGGCAAAGTAAGTCACAGGGATAGTATGTATTCTCCTCAAATCCTTTCCAAATCTCCCCCTGCATCTAACAGTGCCAGACAGCTTAATGCAACTAAAACAGATGAATCTTCCTGATCACAACACTCGAGACACAGTTCAAAGAGCCAAAGCATTCAGAGGAAACTGGCACAGACAGCCACAGGAACAAACACCGGATCCAGATATGTGAAGACATAGCTTTTGGCATCTCTGTTTTTGCGATCTCTGTGTCATGAATTATGTTTGTTGAACTAGTGTTGTTTTATTTTCCTCCCATTTTGCTTTCATGACACTTTAGCTGCTCAGTTTTGTCTTTCTCTTTTTGCTACGTCTGTTAACTACTTTCTACAAAAAAACATTAAGAACTTTCATTGAATGACGAGATAGGTTTGTTATCGATATATCCAGAGCCGGCTCTCGCCATGCTGTGTGCTCTGGGCGAGATTACCACCACTTTACACACACACACAGCTGTATGCGGACAGAAGTAACCAAAACATCCATCCAAGACAGATGTAGATCAGGTTTACCTGTTGAGGAGCACTATAATCAAAACATACAGGACAGATACCACTTAATGCTGCGTAGGCCTGTTGCAATAAGCAATGAATCAATCGCACGATGAATTTAAACATGGTCAATCATTTTAATTTGCATGATTCATCAATTTTTGTCTTTTCTGTCATTCTTTTAAAAACTGGATGAGAAAAATCTTCAGTCTGGTGTTTTGGTCTGAACTGGCTTTATTTTTTTTTCCAAGACAATTTTGTTGAGAGACTTAATAATTGACTTCATTTGCTGTTTCTGTTGTTGATTCATTTTGGATATTTATTCATTAGATGTTTATCAATCTTTGAAGATGTGTCCTTGTCACAGATCTCAAAACAACAATATTATCGTTTATCACAGTAAGTTCTGGGACAATTTATCTATCATCCAACAAAATTTGTTATCATGGCTGGAATGTCAACGTGTTAAATTCTAGTCAAGTTTCTTTTGACTCATTATATATATGTATACTTTTTATGACAATTGAATATAACATAATTCCTTGATCATTCTATAAAATACTATAATAATCATATTTCCCCTTTAAATGATTCTGCCTTACTTGAATATTTACTCAGAAAATTGTATTACCGGGCAAAATGCATCAGTGATGGATACTTTACTATTTCTTTCCAAAACAGCATTCATGTTTAAGGTTTTACCTCCTCCCTGATTACGTTTGACACTTCTGCACATGAGAATTTAAACCTTTAACCCGAAAATTTCCGAAAGGCTGCCAGCACTTAATCTAGGATGTTTCATGACAGAAATAGGCTAAAGGCTTAAAAGGATGAGACGGTGCTGTAGTTGTCGTCTACCTTCGTTTTAAAACAGCTCACCAATACCGAAAGTAGTGAAATAATCGATATTGTTTCCCTTATCATAACAAATTTGGACATGATTTCTGTGTAAATCTGTGATATAAGCCGTAAGATGTTTAAATAACTTATGCAATCAATTTGACTCTTTCCTGTTACAAATGTTATCTTTGCCTAATTTGAATCCCAAACGATTAGTTGACCTATCTTTCTGCATGTTTTTGTTTTTTGGTTTCTTTTCATTCAACTCAAATAAATCAAGTCAAAGGGATGTAATTTTGCCTGGCATTGCTCAGACCTCAGAGGTCAAAAAAGGGAACATCTGATCACTGGGACATTGAAATGTCCCATCCCTTTTTCTGCCCTCAACATGCTCACAACGTTTCAATAACCTTCAAAGCTTCCCCCGCTGTGCCATCCCTATGCTGCACACATCCACAGCAAACACTCCAAAATGTTGTACTCTAAATTACTTCACTGCCAGATTATAGGTTTAATTCCAAACCGAGATATACACCGTTTTGAAAACACACTACACTCGCAAAAATGATTGCTTGCCTGGAAGCAAAGCTCACTGTGGATTATCACTGACCATTTTCCTGGAGTCGAGACCTTTGGTGATGAAAAGAATGTGCTTGTGTGTCGTATATGTTTTGCTTTTGTAGTTTTCATATCAACAGGCTGACGTCCTTGGATTTCTGTTGACTGTTTTTCATAAAGGAATTAGTTTTTTTTTTTTTTTTTTTATCTTCTGTTTCTTGTTTTGAATTTAGAGAGAGGGCAGGTTAGCACTGATGCAATGTTTTTGGTAGGCCAGTTTTCCCCTGCAGTATTTTTTTTAGAATGTCGATAAAATCATTGCTATGCGGCACAAGGTTCACCTTTGGGCATTTTCACTTTATTTTCTTAAAGCAAGATCCATAAGCCTTCACTTTTAATACAGTGTAATATGAATAGGTGTGCAGTAGCACTGGGCATAAAAGTAAAATGTCATGTTTTGCCTTTAAAAGTTTTTAAATATCTATAAAAGTTGGTTTTTATTTCAACTGTTTCTTGTCTGAGTTGACCTGATTTCAAAGTCAAAGTAAAAGAAGCTATAACACACGCTTGTCAAACATAATGGTAGGTCTTGGGTGGGATAACAATTGTCCTACAAAAAAGGTTCGGACAAAAGGTAAGATAAAAAAAAGGGTGTAGTTGAGACCAAAACCACAGACTGAAGCATTTAGTCATTTAGTTTTTGAGAGAAAAGAAGAAAAAAAAACAACCAAATCATGGAAATAGAAATTGAGCTTGTTTTATTTTATCGTGCTATTAATTAATGTATTGCTTATTGCAACAGGCCTATTGACACGTTTGACTCTCCTGCACTGCTCTGGTTTGCAGCACACAACATGTTAGCTCAGTTTTGCAATGTACCGAACAACGGGTTGAGATACAAATCAAGTACTCTTATTTATTTATTTATTTATTTATTTTTATGGAGTGCGGCTGAAATATCACAAAGATAAAGTGTGACCTTAAACTAGGAGGGAATGAAATCACTCATAGCTGTTATTACCACGCTGGGTCTAGCAATTACTTCCATGCATGTTTAATTTGATGGATTCATGGGCAGCTTTTCACCATAATAGTTTAACTTTTTTATGTATAACTTACACAAATTGAAAATTTATATATTTCCTCAATAAGATTCCCTGTTTTTTCTGTTTTGTATCTGTTTGTTTATAAGCCATAAGCCTCCAATGCAAGTTCAAAGTTGAAACGTAAAAGTGACGGCGTGTTCTTTATCACAAGTGAAATTCTATCACTTTGTTTGAGGCGAACGCTCTCTGCGAAGAAGCAGTGGGACTGTTGGGTTGTATTGGATGGTAACGGGGGGCAGATTACTGTCGCAGCTGTCGTCCATCTTGCTGACTGCTAACACTTCCTGCCGGCCTGCAGTTGTGAAGGAAAGTGACATCAAAGTCGTGTCAAAACCACCTCGGCTGTTCCCACTGGAATCACATTCAAAAAGATTGGATACGAGTCAGATTTGGGAAGAGGCTCCAATCTGACTCAAAAACAAAAAGCAGATCTCTCTGAGTGTTCGCACTTATTCGACTTAACCCTCCAAAAAATAAGTCTGATTTGGGTGACATTTGCTTAGTAAACAACCAACTCTTTGGCAGATTCTGCTCAGTGTATCTGTTGTCACTGTCCTCCAGAAAGCAGATTGTTTTTGACTAAATGAACAAATATAGAGGTGGGAGGTTTTCATTCCAAATAAACAGAATGTTTCTGAATACACACCAGCGCCAAATCTCTCACTCACACACACACACACACACACACACACACACACACACACACACACACACACACACACACACACACACAAAAGACAACATAATGGTGCCTATTTGTATTTAGAACCATTTCCCATACTAACAATTACCACATAATTACAACAAATGGTAATGTATCCTGGGTCTTTTTTATTGTTGATCAGATTTCCCTCCATAAACACTCTTTCTTTTCCTGTGCTACTCTTGCAGAGGCGCCTCCATCTGGGATGTCCAAGAATGGATACTTCTTTCAAGAAATGGGTGAGCCTGATGCATCAAAAACCGAGATTCAAAACAACACATTAGAATAGGGGGGAATAATGATCTTGTCATCAAGAGATAAGTGCAAACATGTGAAAAGATTTTGGTTATAATAGTCTTTTTTTTTTGTAAGTAAAACATTGTTTTTCACTTAAAAGAATTGGGAGAATTGCACCCAAATTTCATTGTGACAATGATAATATTCTATTCTATTGTGCTAAAATTTGAATGGGATCCCAATTTTCCAATTTATTGCAATAAAGTGCATTTGCCAGACAATTTTTACCACAGATATGCATCTTCCCGTTTTTAAAGAAGACGTTGAAACGCAGCGCAGACACAAAAACCGCTCCCAGCTCTCACTCTATGTTGTGTTCAGATATAAATAATGAACTTTTCTATCTGTTATAACAGCAGTTTCATTACCTTCTAGCCAAGGAGAGACTCCCAATTAGTATGTGCAGCCAAAGCAGTCAAGATGGAATATACTTGCGTTGGATCTCCCTGTCTCCCTCAGCCAATTATTCCCCTTCCTGTAATACAGCGATTCACTCAGCAGAATCGCAGAAGGCCCCCTGCTGCAGATGAGCGTGGCTGTCTTTATTAGGCAACCTTTTATCAAAAATATGAATGCAATTACATTATTGTTGGTATGTAAGCATTAGCCGCCGTCGTCGTCGTGGGGGATCATTAGCAGAGGCTGGTCTGGAAGCTCAATTCTGAGCAAACGTATGCGACGACCAGTCAGTGACTCATGTCAGCATGTTAAAGGTTTTTGCTGTAAGCCACCTGTAAGGCTCTGCCCTGGTGAAACATGCCATGTGCTGAAAGAACAACTCACTCAGAGCCAAATTAAGCCAAAAACTGTACGAGAAATACAAATGTTGGGCCCCAGTGGAACAGTCCATCAGGTGTGAAAACTAGGCCTGTCGCAGTAAACAATAAATCAATTAATCACATGATAAATGAAAACAAATGCAACAATTTTCATTTACTTGACTTATTGTTTTTCTTTTTTCTCTTTCTTTCTACCAAAACTGGTCTTCAGTCTGGTGCTTTGGTCTCAACTGTCCTTTATTTGAAAGATAATTTTGTCGACAGAGACTTCAGAACTCATTTAATTTGTTGTTTCTGTTGTTCTGTTTATTTATTTTGTATATTTAAAACGTCTTCCTGTTCCATGTTTAAATGTTCATCAGAATTTAAAGTTTATCAACGTTTGAGAAAGTGTTCTTCCATTATTCTTCCATTATTAACATTATATTTTTTGAAAATTGTCTAAAATGACCCCAATATTATCATTTATCTCAAGTTCTGAGACAATTAATTGTCTGGCAAAATTTGCTATCATGACAGGCCTCGAGTAAACATCCAGAATTGCTTACTGGGAAGTTTTCATTCGTTCACCGTGAGCAGAGTTTTCTCGAGGGTCTTGGCCTTGTGGTGGGTGGGGGGATTTTTTGGTGGGGCTGCACAGATTGATCATTCCCAATTTCTTTAATTTTGGGTGATCAACAGTCTGTTGAAGCCAAACTTATCCACCAGTCTTCTCTACCACCACAAGGCTCAGAGAGGGCTGTGTTTCACAATAGTCAGCCAACTGTTGCCAACTTTGCAACTTTTTTGCTGCAGAAACATATCGGTGTACACCAAAACCAGTCAGGCTTTTTAAGTATGTGCAATCTGTGCACCCTTACTTCATTTTAACAACAGTCTGTAGAACAATCGACTGGTAATGACCTTTAATAAAAACAAAGTACATTAGACAGTTATTAAATAAATGCTTGTCTTGAACGTCTTCATATTTGACAGAACATTCCTTGGATACTGTTTAGGGAAACACTAATAGAAAAACAAACCCCTCATATCAGTAAAGCCAGAAAATGCTATCTGTTTTTAGCATCTGACCTCTTCTATATGTGCTACTTCTTCGTTACAGCACACATCTTGTGAGAGCGTTAAGAGTGTGTGTGTCACTGCGATACACACCAGGACATACAACTTGTAGAAATATCTAGCTTTAGAACACACATGGCAGCTTAAATATACCAAACGCCATTTGTCAGCAGCTGCTCTCCGGCACATGGAGCTAATTCTGTTCTCAGAACGCAAATCGCAGAAGTTTAAAACTTTTTAATGATGCAAAGATGCTTCGGAGTGTGAGTCGGCGTAATGTCACCGCTGTGAGCTCACCTCAAAGGCGGCTGTGGAACATCGCAAAACGTTTGAACCGTATCAAACAAAACAAACCCCTCGGCTCTCGATCCTTCCACATATTGCTGGCTTTGTGTTAGCACAGTTAGTGAGGTTAGCCTCACAATGCAGTTTGTTCAGATTCAATATTCTGTTCAGACCAAAGGGTTGCAAGACAAATCCCAGATTTAAAAGAATCACCTACCTAAAGTACGAAAATATGCAAGTAAATAACAAAATTGCTGAATTGAGGGCATTATGTTTGGAAACAAACCCAGGGTTCTTGCTGGTGAGCTGTAGCTGCTCCCACACAAGGTGATTTGAAAGTCGGAGCATCAGCCGGTGGGTCTGAGGCTCGGAGGGGGGAAGCAGGCAAGGCAACAACACGGCGAGGTTCATCTGATGTCAACGCTGAGGGATCGTCCTGATGCAAGACAAACTAAATACACTGAAATTGGTGCCTTCTCACAGATGAGGTCAGCAGATAAAGAGCACAAGTATGAGATTGTTACCGTCACATCACGACGATGGCCGGCTGATATTTGGGAACCCGGTAGTTACTGTAGGATTTGATTTAAGGCTCCTGTGTCACGAGGAGATATTGGGATGACTCACACAAAACGGCTGCAGGGCGAGTCATCTCAAATTCTCTGCCAGACGAAATACCTGAACGCTAGACACCCCCCAAAAAAAAGCCTGACTATTTTTATTTTTTTGTGGGACATAACCAACCACAAAAAGTCACATTTTTTCTGTAAACTGGCTTCATTTTCACATTTCTTTTCTGTATCTACAGTTTGTCTTTGTTCTTCCCCACTGGATCACTGATTTCTAAGAACGTCGACTTTACATCTCAATTTGTATTTTTCTTTTTTTTTTAAACTCAGCTTCATAATGGAAATAAAGTGTAAAGTACATCGCCAAAGGATTTCTACCTCATATTTTTTCATATTTTGTTACGTTACAAACACAAATCTAATCACATTTTTTAGTCTAATGGAGTAATACAAGCCAGTGTAGCGGAAGGCAAATAATACTTTATTTTTATCTTTTTTTTTTTTTTTAAACAAATATCTGAAAAGCGTGGCATGCTTCTGCACTCGGCCTCTGAGTCAATACTTTGTAAGACTATCTCTCACTGTCATAACTATTTTTGGATTTCTGGAGACAAATGTTTTTTTTTTTTTTTTTTTTCTCTGAACATCAATTTTCATGTGCTGACATCATTTCCCAACTGGATTTTTTATTTTTTATTTTTGTCAAGCTCAGGTCCGCTGGGCCCCGTCCAGACTGAGATGCATTGTTTTATTTTCTAAGATAATTCCATAGGTGTGTTATTAATGACACCCAGGGTTCCATCCTGGGGCCTCTCATTTAATTTCAACCTGCCCCCTCCCCAGCTCATATTACAACAAGTAATAAAAGTAGTTGCCATTACGACGCAGATGATGCACAGCTGTACATTACGATGTCACCAGGTGACCATGAATCCATTCAAACCCTGAACAGACTGAAGTTATTATGTTTGGGCCAAAAGAGGATCAGTCGAGTTATTACAGCTAAATAGCAGCAATCTGGATGAGTGATAAACTCTGATCTGAACCTTCAGAGACACATAAAGACAGTTACAAAGTCGTTGCATTGATTATGGCAACAGTATCTTTACAGGTAAAAATCAGACCGCTGCTGCTGGCATTCTGACTAAAACCTGGAAGATGGAGCATTTTACCCAGTTCTAAAGTCTTTCCACTGATGGAATAGACTGTAAAATTTATTGTTGGTGTATAAATCACTGAATGGCTTTGCACCTTAATACATGTTGTATCAACCTTCCAGACCCCTCAAGTCTTCTGTTTTCAGTCTACATCCCCAGAACCAAACGATGAGAAGCAGGACTCACCTTTTTATGCTCCTCTAATCTGGAACAAACACCCAGAACAAACACCCAGAAAGCTGCAATCAAGTTGAAACATATTTAGAACTAAAAACCTGCTTGTTTAGAGATGCCTTAGACTCACAACAGCTGGAATAAAATAAGCAAAGTGCAATTTGCTTATTTTGCAATGTAATGTTTTTGCTTGTTTGCCGTTTTACATTCAAGCACTTTGAATCACCCCTGTCCTGATATGTGCTTTACAAGTAAAGTGCCTTGTTAGGAATTTCCTTACCAATTAAACGACATAACCCAGAATGCACTGCAACACCTACTTTGTGCCAAACATGACAAACCAAGTTACCACCTGTTGGTGATACGCTGAGCACATTGCACAGTGAGTTCACACAGTGCTTCACTTACTTGAAGTGCAAAAAAAAAAACCTGCCTGTGACTGTAAACCATTTGGTTTTGACATGAAGAGAGCAGCTACAGACCTCCAGATGGAGCTTATAGACATGTTATATTTTTGTTGTACATCCAGAAATTTTGTGCATGCACAAACACTGGAGAGCAAAAAAAGAACCTGGAGTTCAGGGTATTATTAATGAAATGCACCGCACCCACCATAGGGAACGTAACGCATAAAAGCCATTGAAAAACAACTTAAAAACATTCATGTTCTTTTTTGCTCACTCTCTTTGTCGGGTCTGCGATGCACAGACCAATTGCCATGGCAACCGGCTGTCAACAGCTCCACTATTGTATCAGGATTCAACACCAGAAAACACTCAAATATAGTGACAGAACATTCAAATAAAGAACAGAACATTCAGCCCAGTTCAGAATGATGTTTTCAGGCTTAATGTGTTGGTGATTATTAATAAGTGATCGCCTGAACACCTCGGTGGCTGATTAGCTCATTTAAATACCTGTTTCTGAGTGTTGGTGTGTGGGTTGCCTTGTTATTTAACTGAACTGAAAAACACCAAATTCCACGGCACATCTACATGTTATGGTTGTTAAAGTCAAGTTGACACCCTTGCCTCTCGTCGTGTTTTTTATTTATTTTTTTAACTTTTTCTTGACCAGTGAAATGTGATTCCTTTGAACCTTGTTATCTAGTTTCATAGTGTTGACAATTAGTAGCAAAGCACGACATCCCTATTTCTTTTATACATCACACCTACATTAAAGAGTCAGGGTGTTATCTTGATAAATTATCAGCTAAAACACATGGGAGTCAATGTCAGCGAGCAGCTTTTTGCCTCCCAGCAGGGAGCTGAGAGCGGGATCTTACGCATGTGATGTCATGTTGCAACGTGTCTACGGGACGGCAGTGCAACAGCCGTCCCGTAGGTCTGAGTCTATGGCTTCTGCACAGTTTCCCCTTTCCAGCCCTGAATCAATGTCCCATCTTCAGCTGCAGGTTGTTCATGAGTTCTCCATGTTTGGCAGTTCTTACTGATTGATGCAAGCAGTGTGATGAAGATGAGCAAGACGGCAGACAGAAGTCATCCACACCTCTAAAGTACTCTCCAGATTTCCGCAGCTCAGACCCCAACACCAAAACATTAATCAACTTGTTGCCAGGAAACGATTCGAAACATCTTCCTCAGACAGAAAGCCATAAAGAGAAGATTAAAAGAAATATGCCCTTGTCCTTGCTTTACTGAGAAAAATACATTCTTCGAAATTATGTATCTAATTTACATAACTGCTCATTTTTAATAGAAATGTTGACCTCTAAAGACTCTTACATGTTTTCCTCTAGGATTATCCTTTATATTAGCTTAATCCATCCTCCCATAATCTCTGCCCTGCTTAAAATCACCACATCATGACGCTGCCGCCACCATGTTTCACTGTGGACATTGTGTGTTCGTTCTTATGACTTTCTTTAACTCCTCTTCCAAAAAGGCCAGATTTGTTTTCTTGTTGTCTTCCTGACCGTTTAGGTGGCCAGTTGTGATTTAGTTATTCAGTTTTTCTGTTTTATTCCCATTTTTGCATAAAGGGATGATTATTCAAATCTCGGTATATTATTTAATCATGTCGCTCCATCATAAGCGTCTCCTAACCCGACTGCTGTGTTCCTTGGTCTTATTAAAAGCACACTAAGCTGAATATTGTGTAAAAATGTACACTTAAAGTGCTGCTTCTGAACCAAGTCTGCATGTTTCGGTTCCTTCTTTTTATATTTGGATTTAGTGGTGGGGTGGGTGGGAGGAGGGTTTGCTGTTTTTAGAATGTCCACATCGCCGTAAAACTTCTTCAATTCATGTATCTAAAAATAAGCTGACTTTAAATAAATGAACCACAAGTTTTCATTTTGGTATGGCAGAACTATTTAATCTCATGTATTGTATGCAGAGACATCTGGCCAGCTAGATATATAAATGTTACACTTACCCATTATGGATGTTTGCAATTTTCTTTTGTACATTTCACTCTCGATACAGGCTTTAAATTTCATTCATAGTGCTCTTTAAAAGTTGTTAAAATCTTATCTTTGTGTTGATGAAACTTCTAGAACCTCTATTCTCAATGGAGCTTCAACTCCTGCTGCAGAGTTTGGGCACATATCCGTGACAACATGTACATACATGACAGCTAAAAACAGAGAAATGAGTTGTACATCTGGTGTTTTCCTGCTTCTGGGGACATGGCTGGAAATCTCAGGATTCCACATTTGCTAGATCATATGCACGGATGACCATATTCTGCATTATGACGTGCTTTTTTTTGTTGTTGCCTGATTTGGAAGATTCCTGGACTTCTGAGTTTTACTTTGGGTCCAGGTTAGACCGTGGACTTTAATGATTATTGTCCTATCAGTTAGATTTAATGTCCTTAGCATCTGATTAGTTCATTTATGAGATGTGCTGGCTCTGGTGGACACAGACCCTACAAAAATCTTTAAAGTTCTCCCTAAAACTTTATTAGTTAAGTTTCCCTCTGGTTTTGTTGTAGCTAGGGTTTTTCTCAAGACCATAATTGTATCGTATCTTTATTCAGTGCAATTAAGCTGTTAAATATTACCTGTGAAAGTTAATAGTGAATGATAATCTGCACGAGTTTGGTAACCACAAATCTTTTGCTGTTGTGTCCCCAGAGCAGCGGGAGGCGGAGCAAGAGGAGGACAGCGAGTGCCGAGAGGAGGGACAGGACCTACCGATCGCCTGCGGCGAAGACATCCACCTCTATGACAACCAGATCAGCCCTGGGCCAGGTCAGTGCTGTAGAGGAGAGGCGACAGCACCTAAAAACAGAATTTTATCAAAATGCTACAAGTTACTGTCTTAGCTGCTGTAGATGACTCTCTTGGCATCTTCATGTAGTATAAATCCGGATTAGCTGGGCTTTGGATGCTAATGCTAATGGCTACCCTGGGAGCGGTCAAGATGAAAGGCACACTTCTGTGATTTTTAAACAACTCAGATCTTTTACTTTATAGATTAATGTTGTTGCTGACATGTTGGCATCAGTCAGTTAGTTCTACAGGATCTGATGGTGATTTCTACAGAAAATGGAATATAATTAATGAACTAGACACGACTTGGCAAGACTTTCAGGTCGATGGAACCACCTGGAGTAAGATAAAAGCAGTTTGAAAAGCAAAAAAATGTTAGTTGATTTAGTATAAATTAATTTTTATTGTGCTTATTTTAAAGGCTAAATAATATGGAAAGCTTTTTAATATATATAAATAAATACTGTTATTTATAAATGAATTAGAAATATTCCATCTAATAAATAAATGAGCCCATAAAATTAAAAGATAAATGTAAAAAAATGTTATTATTATTATTATTTGGAGTTTATTTCAGAATTGACTATTTTCAAGATGTATTTATGCATTTATTTCACTGTTTATTTTATAATAGTGTTTTATTTTGTGACACTTTGTAAAGTTTTGTTCCATATTTCATAGACTTTAGATTTACTTTTATTTTTATTTCAGGGTATTTTTAATTCAAGTGAGGGGACAGAGTTTTTTCTGTTTTTCTGTGGAGCAAATTGGTTTCGCAAAATCTAATCCTCCAACCTGGAGGGAGACGGAAAGAACGCTGTGACTGACCAAATGAGCTCCCCATTGAAAATATATTTATATTGAGTGTTGAATGATTTGGCTCCCTGTAGAATGAAGCAGCTAAACATATTTTGAAAAAAAAACCAGATAAATTAGAGCTTCATTTTAGTTAAAGACAGATAATAATAGGGATAACACATTTGTCAGCTGAACACTGATTAATTACACGTAATTATTTTCCAGCATATAAAAAAAGACTTGCAGTGAATTCAGGCCTGATGGAGGAGGGGCATCCCAAAAGCCTCATTTTAGCTTCCCTAAATGATTTTAGTTCTGCTGAGTTCAGACATTGATGCTTTGCTGAAAGCAGCCCACATCATCACTCTGCCACCACCACGTTTGGTTTTCCTTTTTCTGAAATGCTGAGTTACAGGACACTGCCTCCAAGAAGTTCAACTTTTTCTCCTCAGTCCACAGACATTTTTGATAAAGTTCTAGGAGACGATTCAGAGTCTTTTTCTTTTCTGTTTTTTTTTTTTTTTTTTTTTATGTTTGAATGATGAACACTGACCACAACCGAGTCGGTAATTTTCTTCTCAATTCAGTCGAAAACCTATTTTATTAATCCCAAAACAGAATTAAACTCGGACGCCTGCAGTGCTCTGGATGCAGTTATGTGACCTTCTGTGACCTCCTGGATGAGTCATCAGCAGTTCTGGCCAGCGGGTCACTCCTGTGACGGGTCGCCTCTCTGTCAGATCCTACAGGTTCACTCAAGGGCCTTGAAACATTTCCAGTCTGATAGATATCTGTGACTTTGTTTCTCATCTTTCCTTGGATATCTTGATTGGGAACATTTGTTACTTTTTCAGATCTTTTAGCATACTTCATGTTGTCAGAGCTAGACTGTTGCAGAAATGTCATAAGTGAATTCTGCAACAGTGTTCTAATTGTTTTGGGCTTTTTGTTATAGTTTTATTTTGTTGTGACTTTTTGTTTGTCTAATGAAGTTAGTTTTGGTTAGTTTTTAGTGTGTTTGCTGGTTTTTAATAGTCATTATTCGGTAAATATTTAGCTTCAGTTGAGTTTTTATTAGTTCTTGTAGCAGTTTTAGTTTTTTCATGTTTTGCTTAAATTTTAGGTGAAGCATTCAAAAAGGTCAAAATACTGCATTGTGATTATGTACATTGATTAGATAATAATTCCTCAAAAGAGGATAACATTTTCAAATGGATTCAGTTATTATTGAACTGACTGGTGTTTTCTCTCATTTCTCACCACTTCGCAGACTGGAGGGAGCATGGAGTATCGTAGTTTGACGTAAACTGCTTGTATGAAATTAAAAATCGATTTCACATCAATTTGAACAGCTAATAAACAGATTCACAAAAACAAAAGATATCACATCTATCTTTTCAGTATGTTTTAGTTAGTTTTATAGATCTACATATAGCTCCACTTATAGTATTTCCCCATTAATTACCAATTTTGCCTATTTCAGTTTTTCTTGTTTCATTTGTTTTAGTGTTGGTGTCGCAGTAATGAGATTTCCAAAACGTGTTGCAAATTGTGCTTCATTCATGATCTAACAGTTTGTGCAGCGGTTATCACACTTACCCTATGTGGAGCATCTGGATGCATTCAATATGCTAGTTAGAGTTAGCATCAGCAGCAGCATGAGACTAAATCTGTGCACCAAGCACATCTAATAAAAGTACACTGCAGGAATCAATCCAGTGGTTGAAACCATCGGCTTTTTGTGACTGTAATAAGTTGTCAGTTGTGAGGAAAGCTCCACTGCAGGTGCAGGATGTTTGTTATGCCCATCACAGCCTGTTGGGAGATTTTCACAGCGTTATTCACTGACGGCGCGGCTGAATGCTGATTAGTGGGCTTTGTTTTGAGTTCCTGGATTTCCCCCTGCTGTTTGCATTCCTTTATGTTTTTTCATATATTAATCTGTTTCATTATTCTGCATTAACAAATGAGTCCTGGAATGTGTTCCCTGCAGGTGTGTGTGTTTGAGCAGAACTTTTTCCTCACATCCAGTTAGAAAAGCAATACTGTTGAAAATAAAATACTTTAGTTATAAAGTGAGAACAAAAGATGCCTTCTCATTCTCCAGTATAACTTCCAGTACATTTTTCTGTTTCCTACCACCCTTCTTTCTGCTGGTGTTAAAATTTATTCAAATCTAATTTTTGGAGATTTGGTTTCCAGTATATTATTTTTTTCAAACTTTACAATAAATGGTTAGTCCATGTTAATAATCAACCACAAGGATTATTGAGTGATTACACACTAAGAGTGGTAAAAGGGCTGAAACTAATGCTTATTTTAGTTATTAATTAATCTATCAAATATTGTGACGATTCGCCAATTAATCAAATAAAGAAATGGGAAAATTCTGCATATTTTTCATTTGTTTTTATTATTCAATTTTAGAAATGCATCAAAAGAGGCAAATAAACATATAATTCAGTTCCTTTTTTAAATAAGAAAATAAACATTACATTGCCAAAAATACAGTAACATGGCATATTTTCAGAGAAGCTTTGATCATTTGTAGTAGAAAACATAGAAAAAATTATTATAACATCAACATTTGAAAAAAAAAAAATCATCCCTTTCTGATGGATGATGTAGGACTCATCTCTTTTGTGAATTTTAAGTTAACATAATTAAAATTTTTCAAACTAAACTACATTATTGACTAAATGAAAATGAGCTTAAAATAATTTTATTGTTCATCACAATGACTTCTGGGAAAATTTATTGTCCAACAATATTTGTTATTGTGACATATTGCCTATGTTTGTGCAAGTTGTGTGTAGATTTCTCTCCAGGATGTATTCAGTACCAAGCTGCACGATGTCGCAATTCTTCCCTGCATTGACAATAAAAGTTGCCACACACAATATTCGTTTGTGTTGATGTGGAGATTAATAACCACTGAAGAATACTGGCTTCCACTAAACGCCTGGCAACACAACAAATAGTTACAGAGAAAATTATGTTTAAGTGTAAATGGAGTGTTTGTGAGAGACGACAGGGTTTTGAAAATGACGAAGCATAAAACAGTAGGAACATTTCTGCTTATTGTCACTTTGATTGCAGAATTTGCTGCTGTGAACTGGACTGGCCTGCAGGGGCTCCTGACCTGCACCCAGTGGAGAATGTGAAGGCTGAGTTTGAAAGGAAAAGGTTAACAACAATGAGCTCATATTGAGTTGCAAACAATGAAACATGATTTCTATTTGTGTGGCCAGGAATGATTTTAAATTGAGTTGACATAACATGAGTGAAATATCTAGGAAAAGTTGAAGTTAGTAGTCTTTTTTAAAATAATGTTTTTACAAGTTTTTCTGGTTAGAGGTTTTAGAGACTGTTTTTTCTTATTTTTAAATCCCCTTAATGGTTTAGTTGTTAAACGTGTCCTACGTTTAATAAAGTTTGCTCTCACAGCTCTAAGAATCCAAATGGTAGTTTTTAGTTGAGAGCAAGAGGAGTAAGTAGAAGCAAAGACTACAGTTTTAAAAATGTTTTTTGCAAGTTTTATTTAGTTCTTGTGTAAAAGCTGCAGTATTTAGCAATATTAAAAAAAAAACAATTGTTGAAACTGTCACTATGTTGCGACATAACATGAAACAATCTGTGGAAAAAAATCATTCTATTCTATCTCCTCGCTGTTGTCCAACTGCCATCTGCAGAAATACACCACTTATGGTAAGAAACAACCAATTAGAGCCAAGAGAAGGGTCTTATCCCTGCCCCGTTGCTTTCTGCTGCTCTACAGCTAGTTTCCCTCAGCAGAGCCTTTTGTGAAAGCTGTTTAGCATAGCTACCAATGAAAGGGGCAGTGTTAGATAAAATCTTTTTTGAGCTTTGCATCATATTATAATATGTTCTCATCGAAAACATACATGGATTCTTGATTTGATTCTGAAATGAAAGTTTGAGAAATCCTTTAATCTGCAGTGGCAACCGTTCAGCTGTACAAAACGCCTGGGTGAACCTAGCCCCACCTTTGAGGGCAAAGCTCATCCTTGGAACAACAACTTCCAAATTTCCCCCATAACTTCTTCACTCAGCTCCTTCAGACTAGCCAGAAGCAATTAGCAAATACCTGGTGGAACTTAGCTGAGCTCATTAGAGGAGTTGAGCGCAACACTGATAAAAATGTTGGTAAAGGGTCAATAGAGGAACCATGTTCTGATGTCTTACTGAAAGTCGGAGTTTCAGAAAGAGCAGAAGTTCCTTAAAGAGACAGAGGCCCAATTTCAAAGCGCTAAATTACGAAGCATATGTAGCACTTTTATAACTGAAGGCAACATAGTTACTTGATTATGCTATAATTTTGCACATTGTTCCTGGAAAACACATGATATTGTCCACAATGAGGACTTCTACCCAAAGTCTTCATTGTGTAAACATTAGAACATGATTATTTACACATAACTATATGTATAGTGTACAATCAAACCAGCTATAAAATCTGAAATATTCCAGTCTTTCTGTTCCAGCCAGCTGCCCAACACATCTTGCACAACACTTCTCTGTTAGGAGCATCCTATCAGCACTTCTTAGTCACCTCCCTGTGCCTCTGTGTGAAGATAATTACACGACACTCCACACTAAGATTACACAGCAACCGCGACCCAACAGTTTCAGTGCCACCTTGATCAAATAATAAACCGGCCTGTGTCACATGTTAACACTTCTCCCTCTCTGATGTCTGAACACCCCACCCCTCCAAAAAAACCTCTCCCGGATTACTTTAAGCCACTTGGTACGTGGAGTCCTACAGAAACCATTAGACGGAGGTGATCGTTTGGATGAGGTAATCTTATATGAATATATGACTATCTCCCCGCGGCTGCCGCCTGACGGCAATTAGAGCTTCACTCCTCCCTCTCCCCAACTGGAAGAGGATCAGCCCTGCTGTGTGCTTTTTTTTTTTTTTTTTTTTTTTTTTTTTTTGATTGTAAGGCTTTGATGAACAAAATCCACTGCACACAGCACGTGGCCCCTGCCACTGTTTCATCACTGAATGGCAGCGGTTGGGGTCTCTCTTTTCCCCCCCATTCCACTGCCTGCAGTCTTATCTCGGGAAGGTGTTCATTGCGACTATCAAAGCCCGCTATCATTTTCTGTTAAACTTAAGCTCAGACATGTTCACTTGTCACCTGGGTTATTGATAATATATCCTCGGGCTTCGCTGAGGTTTATTTCCCTGTTTAATCTGGATGGGGGACAGGGGGTATAACTCGGGAGGAGTTTCCCTCCGATTGATTTCCACGTCGAGCCTGCAGAACATCACATGGCATAGAGGAGGAAACCCCATGGTAACCCGATAACTTCCTCCCCTCAGCAAATGTCAGTAACTGCGTTATGTGACAGAAGATTGTTTTATGAGAGTCGGCGGCCTAGTTAAGGAGACTTGAATTATGCTGAAAACCTAGCTCCCTCGCTTTGTCTCTGTATTGTTTTCCAAGATAAAAGGTTTCTTTTCTTTCATTTTTTTTAACACCGAGAAAAATCAAGCCGTTTGTACTTTATCTTTGGACTTGCCTTGACTCTATAGAGATGTGCATTAGAGTCTTATCAGTGGATAAAGTCCAATCTCTGTTCAGTGAGAGCGTTTAGAAACTTGCCTCTTGACATTTTCATCCCCATTAGAAAAAGGGGTCTCTTTCTCTCTCTTTCTCTCTCTTTCTCTCTCTCTCTCTTTTTCCTTTTCTTTTGCTGGCTCACTCATTGGTTCTTATACTTTTTGATTTATTACTGGAATGACTAAACGTTGATTTTCAGGGAAATGCTCTTTAATGCAAATGCAGAAGGGGCTTTCTATGACTAGATTTGCATAAAACATTAACTTGAGCCAAAAGAAAAAAGGCTTAGAAAAACTCAGCTTATTTTGAGAAGTTTTCGTGCCTCAGGTCATCTTTTAAGTCTTCCTCATTGTTTTCTCTGACATAAATCTCTGGATTTTAGGTATGACTATGGCTCAGCGGGTAGAGTAGGTGTCCTTTAACCAGGGGATTGTGGGGTGGAGTCCTGCCGATGTGCCGCATGGCAAGGCACTTGAATCCAGGTTGCCTACCTCTTTGTATTTTCTGCATATTGGTGAATGATGGCGTGTGTGTTTGAGAGTGCAATTTGACTCAAATGTGAAGTTCTTTAAGTGGGAAGGTATGACTAGAAAGGTCCTAAATAAATCCATTTCATTTCTTGGTTATTAGAAGTATAACTTCTTTTAACTTTTTTGATGATGGGAAGCCTACAAAAAGATCTAGTCCACCGTTTACGTTCTTCAGGGATGGTACATCCTGGACAGATTACCAGTCTATCAAAGACCAACACTAAGGCTACGTTCATATGGTGCAAACTTCACGCTCAATTCAAGTTGTTTTGCTGAAATGACTAATTAAATACAATGGCAATCAGAACTGTGTGTGAACGATTCAAGACGCCAAAGCAGCCAGATTGTGTAGAAGAGGATCAATAACATCATTGCACTTTTACTAATAATAGTAACCACCATCTATGGATTGGCTTCAAAGTTATTTAGAGTCAACAGCATTGTCAGAAAATTATGAGAAGAAAAAGGAAGCTTATAAAAGGAAAACAATTAATAGCAACAATGTTTTGTGGAGCAACTTCTGTAGAGAAGTCTGGATGTATAGTCAGAGCTAAGAGTGGTGGGATTGTGATGTGATGCTCTTAAATGACACGACATCTTCCATAATTTCATATTTATCATTTTCAGCCATTGTTTACATCTGGATTTACTGCGTCTGGCTTCTTCTGGTGCAGAATTATGACCTGTGTGGTGACCTTTCAGACTGCAGGCACTGAGAACTACTGGATATGTAACTGATTTTGTTCCACATATGGAAGTGGCACAGATCCGATTATTTGGGGGGGTTTGGGGAGATGAAAAAATCAGAATTGGGCCGATCAGGCTGCCATGAAAACGTCAGACATGGGTTGCACAAAAAATTGTATCAGAGTTGCTTTTGTGTGTTGTATGAACTTAGCTGAAGTCGCACAAAAAAATTATATCCACTATGTTAATTCCGGAAAATATGGAGAGATCAACATGCAAATATTTGACCTGTAGTGGGAAGCCAGAGTACCCAGGGAACACCTGGGTATGCATTGGGAGAACTCCATGCAGATTGGCCCTGGCTCAGATTCAAACTCAGGACTGCAATGCAACAATGCTACTAAGCTGGAAAGACACAAGCAATGACTGTAAGAATACAAATATTGCTGCCCCTGCACCTGTTGAGGGGAAAATATCCATTCCAAACGATCTGAAGCACTTTATACTACAGGGAGAAAGAGTATTCACATGTGGAAAATGTGAAAGACCGTTATTAGTGGTGATTCCAACACAAGACCACAAGACTTTTAGAATAAAGACTTATAAAGTCTAGGAACTCCTCTGTATACAAAAGTTTTCACTTCACAAATGGGAGCAAACTTTGGCTGAAACTAGGTCAGGTATTGGATGAAGTCATGTTGCATAAATAATGATGGTCAGAATTCTTCCATAATTAAATAAGAGACTAAAGCTGTGCAGATAATTACTTTAAGGAAATGTTGCTACAAACTACTGAATCATAGGTTGCTCCTGATTTTTCACAGATGGCTTTTCCACTTCTGCTTCACTGTTGCTTAATAAATAATGCCAATGTGGATTTTATTGTGTTCTTTCATCCACTTGAGGGGAAATTTTTATTATCCAGAGTCTGGTGAAGAGAATGTGGGACATGTATGGAGCTAAATAGACTTTTTGTCTATTTAAAGTTTGTTAAATAGACAAAATATTTGTAACTGAAGCATTATTGAAACTGGAGAAAAAGATCTGACTGAAAAATTATTTTGAAAGTAGTAAAAAAAAAAAAAAAAATGTGAAACTGGCCGTCATTAGCCAAGGACCTTTGGGCCAAAACAGGCTGCAGAGGTGTAGCTTTGGTTGGATGTTGGAGAAACAAAGCTCTCAGAGTTGGATGTGCGTTATATTGTTACTGGTAAATAATAGTCACAAAAACTGACAAGGAGCTCACAAAAAAAATGCCATTAATATTTCATTGCGTTTAAACCATTGAGTAAAGTAGTTTATTGATCTTTGAAGACGTTTCTTTAATTGAAAACACAGTTTTTCATTCTACATTCAGAAATGCAGAGACCTTTCCTCTCCAGGGAAGCAAAGGAGTCATAAGCAGTTGCGAACTTTGCTTTGCTCCTGTGTGATATAAAAAGTTTTTTGCTGCTTTCAATTTTTTATTTATTTCTTTATTTATTTTTGGTCTTGCAGCTTTGGCTTGTGTCTGGGGAGCCAAAGCTGTTTTATTGTCAGTGATAAATAGTTGGTTACCACTCTTCTATAGAGCCAGGAGTTGGATGACCACAGCTATGTGACATAAAACTAAAAGCCCCTCATATAGAAGTCAAATGTAGTGCAATATGTAAAACCAAAAAACTAGGCACCCTACCCCCACCCCACCTGGAGATAAAAATCCAAATAAGTTTGTTACCTACGTCAACAAAAAATGAACCAATCTGCTAAATGTTTAACAAGTATTTTTACCCCGATTAAAAAACCTTTTACGGTAATTTATAGTAAACAAGTACCACCTGTTGATTGTCTAGAAATGGAGAAAATTAGAAATAAATACTTTGCTTTTTAAGTGTTTTTTTGTTTGTTTTTCATTTTGTCTTTAGATGCCGATGACTCTGGCTGTGTCCTCCTCAACACATCAAGACGGGTAAGCAAACATACATACGCAGTTGACATGGGGATCAAAAATCTTTGACGATATTCATATAAGGAACTGAGCCGCAAATGTTTAGCAACTTTATTTACACCAGAGATGAACAGAAAATAGGAGCAATATTTGTATTTTTTATTGTACGTTGGCTCTTTTTTAACCATCAAGCCCATAGAGAGGAACTGGAACTCACCAAAATTGGCACAGTGAAGGTCAGTGCTAAAAAAAAAAGAAAAAAAATTGGAATCATTTGGGAATCGTTCAGTGAGTGTGTTTATGCATTATCACTTTCGATGTCCAGTGGGAACAAGAAGCTGCCTCGCTGCACTCTAACATTTGGAGACATTGCTGTTTAAAATTCAAATAATTCCTTGATGAATATGTGAGTGGATTGCTAAATATATATGCACAGTCTATCCAAGAATTGACTCTGGGCGCTGAAACATGGGTTCCTCATCATTTCTGCTGAATTCAAACCACTTTTCTATCACTGGCATGGCGTGACCTTTCCTACAATTGTATGCTGCCTCACTTTTTGGGAAGATGAGGAAAATTTATTCTCTCGATCTCTTCCGTGACTTGCTTCTTCTCGTGTTTTACCCCGCTCTCATCCCTCGAGGTTGCTAAAACAAATCATTCCAGTGGGCTTACACCGTGTGATGTGCCAAAACTGTAGACACATAATTTTTTTTCAGCTTTTTATTCATGCCGCGAGATGCACTTCTGATTCTACGAATGAAAATATGCATTGCCTTTCTTCCCCTGAGTCGGACGAAATTCAGATTAGTTTTGTTGCCACGCCCAAGTACGTCACAGACTTCTTTGCGTAATCAAACATACGTTTGATTATGTCACACTTCAGACAAAACACAGCTTAAAGTGGCGAGCGAGCGTGTCATGATACTTCTCCATTACAAGGCTGTCAGTGATTTCAGTTTGCAGCGCCAACAGCTTGCCTGGTCCTTTTTACTAATCCCTGCATTCTGTGCCACAGTTCTGTGTGTTTGCTCTCTCCTTCTGTTTTCCCCCCTTTAATCAGCCTCACATGGCAACAACCACACATTATCTCTAGAACTGTGATACACGTTGCCCTATTTAAAGTGGTCAGAATAAACTTGGTAATTGCATGTTTATGTACGTGGATGTTTGCGTCCAAAGGTTAATTTTAATTCAAACAGATTTGAAATATGTGATTTTGTTCAGTTGGACCAAAAATGTTTCTTAAATAAAATTAAATTGAACTTCGTAAAGTGACAGTGCTATGTTAAATCAACATTTTTGTTTACCTGTATGTCATGTCATAATATCACTCCTTCATTAAAATTTCAAATGTTAAGTCATATTTGAAATGTGTGTTTTTTTTTTTTTTTTTTTTTTTTTTTTTTTTTACAATTGTAGGTAAAATAGTTACTAAGTTGTACCTGAAGAACACATAAGACTGTCCCTTTAAATCTTCTGGAAGATTTGGACAAAAATATGGCTCCTATCTGGTTTAAAGCTGCAGTAAGCAGCCTTAAAAATGTTTACGAAATGTTGAAACATTTTTTTACATATTTTAACAAATATGTAAAATGTCTTTTACATATTTGCTAAAACTGTCACCATGTTGACACAGTTATCTGTAGGAAACAGATAAGTGGGGAAAAAAAGATTTTCTCCACCTCTTCCCTGTGCTGCTATTGCGATCTGCACAGCTCCCAACCAAAAGCAACCAATCAGAGCAAGGAGGAGAGTCTTAACTCTGTCCATCAAGCTCATGAACGCGCTGTGAAATGAGCTATTGATGATATATATATATATATATATATATATATATATATATATATATATATATATATATATATATATATATATATATATATATATATACACTTTTGCCATTTTAGTAATATTAAAAATACACATACATACATTGAACAGTTAGACTCCCCACTGAACAACTTAACATTACAGGAAAACTGTTTATTTGCCATCATTGCTGACCATGCCATCATTCACAACAAACTCTGCTGTTAGGGAACAAATGGGCAGCGCTGATTGGCAGCGCTAAGACCCGCCTCCTGGCTCTGATTGGTTGTTTCTAGATAGTACTGGGAGAAGGCAGTGGAACTCGATTTATTTTTTTTTACTGATTTGTTTCATACCATACTCTCATGACATTTTAACAGTTTCAACAAATTTGTTTTAAAAAATGTTGATAAAAGTTCCATACTGCTGCTTTAAGGCTGATATTTAACATAATTCTGCAGATGAACAGACATAAACAAACAGGATCTAAAAGTAAACTCAGGTGAATTTATTCCTAAAGCCTTAAATGACTTCAGTGACCTGAAAAATAACCAAAGCGCCATTTAAAAAACATATTTCTGTTCTTAAAGTTTTTAGCGAAATAACTCAGCAAACTATAGACTTTCCTTTTTCATGCTTGTCTTATTTTAAAAAGAACAGCAGGAGCTCCACTTTTCTTTAGAATTTCTGTCAACCCCACAATCAATGGAGCTGGGGTCTGCAGAGTGTCTGGGCTTTTAATCGAGCTGCTCTCGTCCTTCTGTTCATTCACCCATCTGCATGTTATTCTGCACTCCTACAATCCCAATCCATCTCGGAAGAATGAAACGATTCTTATCAATGTTCAGCCGGTTTAGGGGCGGATGTGGATTATTACTATAAACAGACATTTATAGTTGTTTTTTTTTATTTGTGTGGAGGTTTAACATTTTGATGAAAAACTGTCATTCTGTTAAAGTAACGACTTAAAATCGCCATTGAATGACATTAACTGGAGTTTAACTATGTTTTAGTTTACGTAAATAATTTTGTGATGAAGGTGAATGAGGGAGCGACTTTATGATAAACTGTGAAGAGATAAAAATCCATCTGTTTAAAGTTTAATTTTATTAACGAAAGGTGGAATAAATTGACTTAAGAACATCTCGTGTTTTAGAGGAAGAATCTATGAATTTACCACTTCCTTGCCTCTGTTTCTTGCTTAGCTGAAATTTTTCATGTAATTTTGAATGTGTCCTTAGATTTTTTGTAAAGACTCCATCAGCAGAAGGGTTGGGACTAATATCCAGTTAAGAGGGACATCTAGGAATCAGTGTGTTGAAAATAAAAATAATTTTATGTTTAATTTTTGAAAATTAGAGTCAAATACTGAAGTTACATCAACAGATAGTTTTGTCATTTATGTCAATAGTATTTCTACTCCTAGAATATGTTCATGCTCTGAGAACTCCAAATTTTACTAAAGGATCAACTTATTTTTTATGAGGTCCGTTCTGTTTTTTGTTTTGTTTTTTGCTGTTGAGTTTTACTTTGTAGAAATTCCACACGTAATCGTTGACCGTGGTTTTAAGGCAGCATTTAAACGACCCAATTTCCTCCACAGTATGTGAAGCTCATGAACTTCGAGGAGGAGGTTCGGGCACACCGGGACTTGGATGGCTTCCTGGCGAGGGCTAGCATATTGTTGGATGAGACAGCCGCCTCCCTGGACGACGTCCTCAAGAGAATGTTGCACCACGTAGGCGAGGACAGCCACGTGTCCGAGCCCGGGTGCAACTTTGAAGAGGTGATGAGCATGCTTTTCACTGATGCAGGAGCTCAGGAGGTCAACGGTAAGCAAGAACCCCACACCTGAGCGTTAACCATGTGAGACAAAACACAAATACAACTGCAAGGAGAATCCAGTGAACTTTAAAATGAGTCCCAATGAGGCTAGCATCTCATGTAAATGATTGGTGCTGTTAGCATGGCTAGCATTAAAGAAACAGTAAGACAGATGTTTAAAACTGATAAAACGGAGCAGATTTTGTACTTTGCTGTTTGGCAGGTAACACTCACAGCTGATACTTGAAAGTCAAAGTGAAGCTCAACAGATTTACCTTCATAATTGGAGCATCACAGCTTTCGCCATGATGCTCCACTTTATACATATATGTGAAACATTTTTAGAAAAAGCTCTGTTTATATCAAATGTTATGGCTACAGAGATGGAAAATAAAGGAAGATGTGCAGGGGAAAATGTTTAAAGGGAAAGAAAGAGATGAAGAGAAGAGGAGATAATTCAACACCCTTGAAGTCTGCTTCTACACCTGCAGAAAGAGAGAAAAAAACATTAATCATATATAACAATAACAAATCTACCATCGAAAAGTACATGATACAAGTTAATACAAGACAACCTCAGTCCAAAGTAGAATCTGAAACAACTGAATCAGGACAACTTTGTTGTTCTCCATTCAGCCTTCCTGTTACCCATTGAAAGTCTTGTTTTTTTCTCACAGCCTGAATAAACTCCATCTAGAGCTTGATATGTTATAAAAACTGGTTTTCTTGAAACTATTTTACATCTCTTTGTGTATCCTTTCTCCTTTTTCTTTAACACTTCCCCGTTACTTAAAATGTCTAACTTTGAGTTGTCAGTTTGAGTATTTCATCTGCCTGTCGCCAGCTGATTTCTTGCTCTTTCTCTTTTGAAGCACAAAGAATCATAAAGCACTTTCAAGGTCCTGTTGTGTTTTTCCATTTCGGTGCTGAAAAAGTAAAAATACAAAACAACCTAGAAAATGTACTTGCAGGAAAGCTAAATAACTCGATCACTGTTTCCGTCTTTATTGTAGTGTCAGTCGAAGTGTTTTAAGGAGGAACAACAACCTCATAAACTACATTAAAATATGGACAAAAGAGTTATCTGCACTGAAATATTTGATCACTTCAGTATTAAGCAAACCTGAAACTGTCACTGGAATAGGCATATGGGTCATATCGTTGGCATTGATTGAAACAGTTTCTTTATTTACTGGTTCCACAGCATCCAAACAAGATTTTGGTCATAAAACAAATTATGTCTGCAAACAACTAAACCGAGAAACAGCTATTCCAGGCCAAAGCCTTTTACTGCAGGCTGACAGTTCAGTCTAGAAAAAATAAATTGACACAACAGTTTCTCCTGCTTTGCTGTCCTCTTCCCCTTCTAAATCCTTTTACCATTAGTGTATTTCCTTCAACACAGTTTTTTTTTTTTTTCGACTGAGAGGCTAGGTACCGTCGTGGTTTGGTTTGGATAAATCTCCTCAGCCTATTAGAGCAAGAGAAAAACACCATGCTGCATAACAGTATGGCTCCATTGTTGAAACATTTTTGTCAAGAAAGAAGTCAAGGAAATGCTTTTTTTTGTTGTTGTTTTTTAAAAAAAGGAACAGGATAGATATATTTTTTTGTCTATAGAATTTCTGCTACAGTCCAGTGTTGTTTCTGTACTTGATGAGCATCAGGCGGTAACATCAGTCTGCAATGTGCTCTTTGACCAGAGTTTTTCCGGTCTGGCTGCTCTGGTGTCCACAGCTGTGTTAGTTAGTCTGAGGTGGTTTGTGTGCGATGCTCGCCCTGCACCGCAGGCCGCCACACATTCACAAGGTGATAATTGACTTCTGTCATCAATCGCTCACGTAGCTTTTCAAATGGCTTTCTGAGGCTCTGAGGCTGTGCTGGCAGCTGCTGCTGGCCTGTTCTGTCTCAGAATGCCCCACAAGGCGCCTGTCTTTGGGTCAGTGAAATGGGGGCTGCTATGTCTGTTGGTCGGATGCTTACAGCCATCACCACTTTAAAATTAATGTAGGAGGACATTAAAAATATTCCTGAGTAAAGCATTAAAGGGACAGGATTAAGCAAAATCAATTATTTTTAGCTTTACATCTTATAATGTTATTCCCTCAACAAAACCATACCTGAAGTGTTGCTTTGATTCTTTCACATTTGTTTGAGAAACCTTTAATCTGCATGGCAACCATTCAGCTGTGCAAAATGCCTGGCTGGATCTAGCTCCGCCTTTGAGGATGAAGCTCCCCCTCCTCTTACGTTCAGTTCCCAAGCTTCAGAGCTTCTGCCTCACAGAGCAGCCCTCCTCCACTCAGCTCCTTCAGACTAGCCTGCAGCAATTACCTGCCTGTCTGCTGACCTCATTATAGAAGCTACATCTCAGTGTAGCACTGGTAAAAATGTTGTTAAAGGGTTAATAAAGGAGCCATGTTGTGATAATTTCCCAGAAGGCGAACTTTCAGAAATCGCAGGAGCTTCTTAAAGAGACAGAGGCCAATTTCAATTTTAAATTGCAAAGTACCATTTCTTTAAGTCATATTTGATATAAACAGCATTTCTGTAATGACTTTAGTTAACATACTTTATTGTGCTATAAAACGATGTTATGTGCCTGGAAAACACAATACTGCCCTCAGAACATTTCTCAAAAGTCCTTGAAATATTTAAACAATAACACCTCAAAACTACATTCAGTTATAAAACATAACATTCTGGGCCTGACATTACTAATCATTACATAAAAATGATTTTTATTTCAAAAGCGTAGCAAAGTCAATATGAATCATAATGAATAATTGAAGCTACTAAATAATCATAAAGTGATTCATACTGTTACATAAAAAACCCAGTTCATGTGCCTGGAGCTCAGAGCACCTCAAGGCCTCTGCCCTGGATGCACTCAATGGAAAGTTTCATGACTTGAGAAGAAAATAAAAACGTTAGACTATTGCATATTTTGTTGTCTTCATACTTTAATTCTAAAGTAATTCTAAAAATCTGTTTTTATGTTAGTGGTTTGTTTAAAAAGTCATAATTTGTTTAAACTTAATTGGATTGAAATTTAATTTATGTATTGAACTGTTCCAGCAGTTCCACTGGCAGCCCTACTCAAATATTGATTGCAGTCTTCCAAAATAACATTTATAATAAAATACTGTATCCATTTTTTACAAACTTAAGTCAACTGGAAAAAGAATAAGAGGAACAACAGAAAGACATGTTGTTTCAACATTATCCCAAATAAAGATGTATACACAGCTATGAAAAAGTATTTACCTGCCTTTTTATATTTGAACTACGTTCTGTATTTGTTTTAATTTAATCTATTATTATTTCATGATCCGAACCTTTTAAGTGTGGCAAAAATGCATAAGTTAGTGTTGGTCAAACTTCCTTACAAGAGATCATCATAAATTTCACTCTAATTGAAATGATAATTCACTGTTTAAATCACCTACAGAGTGAGTTATCATGCTGGGTGGATGCATTAGCACCAGGAGCAAGAAAGTATTACATTTAAGCTCCAAAAAAGCTACAAAATGCTTTTAATAACATTTAAAAATACCTTAAAAGCATCAAAACCACACAGTTAGTGAAAACTTGCAACAAGTCTGTTGATTTCAGATATCTTCAATTAAGTTGAGCATACTAATTATTTAATAAAGATTCCACTCAGTAATATCCTGTTCTGGAGAATTCCCAGATATCAGGAAAGATTCCTGAATCCGACTTCTGCTGTCTTTTTTCTTAGGGGGGTTCTTGATGAGGAACAAAGACCCTTGCTGTGGGAATAAGTTTATATCACACCCCAAGTATGCTATCAACAAGCCATATCTCCAGAGGTATTAATTTCTGCCGTATCTGGGCTCCCTCTGCCACAGTGGGGTATTACAGCTGGCGAGCGGGCCAGCTCATTTCGGCTGTAATGCTGTACAGCTGTGAGATAAAGTGAACAGGGGAAGATTATAGCGTTCCCTGAAAAAAGGGGAGAATTACATAAAATGAAAAAGATGAAAGCCCAGAGAGATAATTAGTGCTGCTCCAACATGTAGAGAGGAGTTTGGTTTTGGAGGCCAGCATGCTGTTTTTGGCTCCACTTTTGTCTTGGGATTCGGCATTAAGGAAGAGTGTGTGCATTGTTGAGGAATAATACCAGCTATGCTTAAGATGATGCAATGCTTGGATAAAGGTTTTCACTTTAGACAGTTGAACATCTAAGTGAAACTGGCATCACCTTCTGACATGTAATATTTAAAGCAGTGAATGATTTGGGGACTAAATATGCCTGGGCTTGTTCTGGTACAGTTGCTGCTGAATGACTAATGGGTATTGTTGTGATTAATGGTGTATTGTGTAATTACATTTTCCTCTCTTCCTCTATGGTTTTGTAAGGAGCTGGAGCTTTCTCTGTCAGGTGCACCAATGACGTTGCTCTGGTTCTGGTCACTGTAACATCATTTCAACAGAAAATGTTGGAGATATTATTTCTGACTCTCGATTTACCTGTATTTACATAATCTTCTGCTTTTTCTTCTTCTTTTTAGTTTTGCTTTTTCAAATTAAAATGCAAAAAAAACATGTTAGCTGTAAAATAAAAAATAAAAAACTTAATTCTTCTTTCAAAACAAGTCTTTGTTGAACTATATTACTATTATTTTTAGTTCAAAGCGTCAGATTTACGGGTGTACCAGAAACGGACAGATGCAAAGGTTCCACCTGGAACAAAATGAAAATGTGGTTAAAAATAAAGAAGGCTTACACTAAATTGTACAAAAATAAACCAAAATAACACGTTAAAGTTGCCATTGTTGTGTGCAACAATGGCCACAATGGTGGTATACAACTCCACCACAATTTACAAAGCAAAGTTTGTGGTTGTAATAGGTGAAAAATGTTATCAGCATGAATACTTTTGCATGCACACTAATAAATGTTCTATCACATTTCTAGGCTAACCCACAAAATTCTATAGCTATTTCTGGTGCCTAATTACTCCTGCGATCAAATGAGAATCACA